GAAGAACGCCAAGAAGCGCCACTCCTTCACCGCCCTCAGCATGACGCACAAGTCCTCCCAGGCTGCCAGCAACCGGCACTCTATGGAGATCAGTGCCCCTGTCCTCATCAGCTCCAGCGACCCACGGGCGGCCGCCAGGATTGGGGACCTCAGCCACCTCTCCTCCAGCGCCCCGGCCCAGGTAAGGTGGGGTGGAGGTGGACTTTGTGCACCCGTGGTGGATGGCTCACCATCACCTCACTTCTTTCAAAATGGTCGTCTCAATGTGATGGGACTTGGCATCTCTTCCCATCCTTGCCTTAATCAGTGGAGGTGCTTGACGAGCCAGAGGATAATGCCAAATTTGATTCACAATAATGCAACACATTTAAAAAAATAATAATCCTACAATTTGTTTGAGGTAAGGCTGCTTGTGTTGCATCACTTTCTGTTGTAGAAAGGAATAATTTTGAGTGATCCTGTCACCCTGAATGTGTCTGTTACCCTGCAGGGTGACAGTGTCGGTATGAAATTCGTACTTCAGGGATCAAAAAGACTTTTTGAGTAATTATTTCCCTGCAGATCACTAGAGGCTAAGCAGATGCGCCGTACTTTGACAAGTGTTGTACCCAGCAAGTAGCTGCTGTTCAGAAACACCCAAGGAAGTTTTAAACATTCAGATGTGCTGAGGGTGCAGCCCCCCATCCTTTCCCCTCTCAAAGGAGTGGGCAGATGTGCAGTCTCTTGGACATCTCCACAGGTCCCAGAAGGAATTTCTGAGAAGCTGCTTCTGGGGGCCTGGCAGAAACAGGAGCCAAACTTGCCAGGGATGCACTGAAACCCCTTGAAAATGCCCACTGTTTCTGTGGATAAGGGAATCCAAGTGGTAATTTGGAGTTTGAAGGCATAGAAGAGAATAGAGAATAATAATAGTCTCAAACCTCTTCTGCCTCGGCCTCCCTGCTCAGTTATCTACACACTTGGTGTACGGATTAGCAACCACAGGTTCCCTCATAGTCTGTGCTGCTTGCTAGCACTGAGATAACCTAAGTATGGCAGGGTCTTCCCACCCATCATTTCTCTGCTGAAAAAAGCTGCCCTTGCCCTTTTTCCTCTCCCCAGCCATGCCTTCCTGCCCCTCTCACCCATGTCCCCATACAGGGACAAAAGTGGATCTCTTGCCACCCTTGTGGTGGCCCGGAGCAGGAAGCGGGAGCGGGAAGCGACCCATGTTAAAGCCACGGCTTGTGCTGGTGTGTGTGTAGGGGGCTGGGAGAGGGCAGTGCAGAAAGGGAGACAAGCAGCAAACTGCAGGGACTGCCTTGGGCAGGAAAGCCTGTTTATGCCCATTTGCAGCAGTGGTGGGTCTCCCCTGTGGGAGTGGGGTCACTCTTGATGGCTGTGCCGTGCTGCCACCCATGACATGAGCCCCCAGGTCCCTGCAGCGCAGGTTTGCAAGGACACTGGGGAAGGCAGGGTGCCTGCGTGCACGCCGATGTGTGCCACAGGGCTAGCCAAAACGGTGTGCTGAGGGGACTCTGCCACAGCACACCAGCACCCTCTGCTCCTGCCTCAGCTGCTCACCCCCTTCTGTTGCCCATCCACATGTGGAAGCCGGAGAGGCAGCTTGGTCCAACTGTAATTTAGCTCATTTTCTTCCATGTGGCTTTTTCAAGCAGGTTGTCTGTGCCGTAAGGTCTTCCCCCTCCTTTCAGCCCTCAGCAGGAGGGTGAAGGTGAGGATACAGCCCCCGCACAAAGCAGCACGTGTGCCAAGATGTACTGGGACATCTGGGAAGGAACACAAGCACTAGACATGAGTGAGGGTCTCAAGCTTGTCAAGTAAATGACACCCAGGTTTTTGGCACTCAAAGTGACATATTTGGACTTTACAGAGATGTGACAGACTGTGACTTTTCTGTTCTTGTGCTAGTTAAGGGAAACACCATGCACACCCTTTGCTAGAGTCGTGGAGACACATTCTAAGCTAGTAAACCACAAAAATTAAACTGGAAGCAGAAAGTGCCTTGACTATTCTCCCCCCTTTTAACAGAACAACTGATATTCAAAATCCCACTCATTTCGCAGACCATTGTGGCATTTGGGCACAAGTAGTAGAAGGACAAGAAGGGCCCCGTGTTCCCTGTAACAAGTTATGGTTATTGAAATCCAGCCTGCAGGAAAGTTGGTTGGGTCCTTTGCAGCAGATGGGAGGACATGTAATTGGTGTCATGGTCAGAAGCACAGCTAGGGCTGGGGTATAATGAAGCCACTCCAGTGTGCCCATGGTGGGAATAGATTTGGGGAGTGGTTCTTCTGCATCAGGGCATAGAGCCAGTTTGCAGACAAGGCAGCTAAGCAGATGCCTCCATCGCTGCTGGCCAAAACCATCTGGGCCAAAATCCATGGAAGGGAAAAAAGAGTCTTGGTGGTTCAGATCAACCTTAGTGAAAAGAGATTTCCCTCTGTCAGAAAGTGTTATTGCAGCCCCAAGCACCCAGTCATCCCAAGTGTAGCATTTACATGTATGAATACATATCTCTGCTTTTGGGAGCCTTACTATTTGCTTTCTAGTTTGAGGGATTTAAACATTTTCCTTTGCAAGCTTTGCTAGGAACGTGGCTCTGATGGAAAAAAAAATGAGGCTGAAGTTCTCTCTATATTCTCTTGACTGTAGAGGCAGCCTTCAGAAAAATGTCTCACGTTGTAAGACTAACAATAAAATCACAAGAGCTGCCAACATGAATTCACCTGCTTTTGGCCTTCTTAGTTAGCTCTACAAAGAGTCCAGAATTTGCTTCTTACCAAATACACTTTAAAATTATGCAGCTCTATTTATATAACTATTAATCCCATAATAATAGGGGTTAAATTTTAATTTAAAATGTCAGAAATTCAGTTCCTCTCTGCCATCTGCTAAGACCTGACATGGCTCTGAAACAATTAATGATGCTGCAGCCTCAGTCAGAAAATCATTTCAGCATTTTTCTTTTTTTCATGTGGCTGAACGCCAGCCAAAGTAGCATGAGCAACAGGCCCCTCAGCTCTTACATCAAGGTGTTTAGGACAGTGAGAATCTTGTCCTTGGATCGTTTTGTTCTAAAATGTGTTTGGCGTTTTTAGGGTAAATGTCCTGTACGTTTTGTTGGAGGTTTGACATTTTCACAATCTGCAAACTGCGTCTACTGCTGCTTCAGAAGTGCTCGGGGGCGTTGCGGAGAGCATGGGCAGGTTGATAGGAAAGCCGTGTATGTAGCTGCCGAAGCTACTGGTGAGCTCTGCTGCATGAAGATGTCTCGCCTTTTTTTTCCTTGCTCGAAGAGGAACCTCTCTGCCCTGCAAGTCATCATCGCAGCCCTTGAGTGGTTCTCTCTGTAACTACCTCAGGCTCCTGCTAGTTTGCAGCAGCAAACATAGCCAAAGCATATATCTTATAGAGGAAACAACAAATTTCCAGTTTCAGTGCTGACTGTCTAGCAAACTTATGCCTTTCCTTTCAGCATTAGAATCTAAATTTGGTTTATTGTGTCTTTATATCACATCCTTGAAATTTCCAGGCACTTTATCGTTGTTTATTTAACAGATCTTGTAATAAAAATAAACAAAGGGTTTTCTGCAGTATAGTAGGTATGAGCTTGTCTGGTACATATCAGGATTGGAATTTAGCTTGTGCGGGGGGTTCCACGTTTTTAAAAAGCTCGACACAGTTTTCCTATAGCCTGTCCTTTGAACAAGCAGAATTCAATTACAGGAGTTCTTGAATGGCATCCAGTTCCCCACCTCAGGCAACCGGGTGGTGCCCAGCGAAACAGTTCTTAAAACAAGCATCCATTTTTCCTTGTAGACCTGAGGCGCCTACATCTGAGGCACCTGCTTTGTCTCTGCTGACATGAGAAGAAGCAGAGACATCGAGGACTTCTTACTGGAGGAACTTAAGATTTAGGTGCAAATTTTAGATGTTTCTGTAAATGTGGAATATATTCCTCTCCTTAGAAGTGATTTCATGCATGGTACTGTATTCCTGTGGCTTTTGTCAATTTTGGGGAATTGAAAGCAGACTTTCATGCTGAGCTGACATGTTTTTTGGTTTTATGAGTAGTTAGACAGATATAAGCCTCCTGCTTCTCCAGGAGGGCACAGATTTATGCATCTTGAGCACTGACATGCAGACCACATGAAATCACATGTTTTGAAAGCACTTCTGCATATCATTAATTTAATAATTGAAGACTACAGGCCTTCCATAATATGTTCATTGTTCTTTAAGCAGAACCAACTCAATTGTTTTCCAAAAGCCAAGATGCATTTTAAAATGAGTGATGATCTAAAAAATATCTTCATTGACCGCAAACCTAGGAATGCTCAAAGGTAGAAGAATCAACTTAAAGACACCTCAGTTGAATAAAATAGTGGACTGGAAGACCACAATAGCTAGGATACAAAGCATTTATTTTCAAAGACGCGATGCTGAGATCTTCATTTCACTTGCAGCCAAATTTAATTCTTGTATGCTTTTTGTTGCATGCTGCGTATCACTCATTAAAAGTAAGACCTCCATCTAAAAGGTAATAGTGTCTGTCCATCATGTAGAATGTCCTATCATGCTGGCAAAATGGATTTTTATTGAAGATGTAAGTAGTGCTGCAGGCCTGATGGAGCTGCAGCTGAATTAGGTTACGGGTGCAGAGAAGCAGTTCGTAACTGAGACTCCCTGGGGAGCAGGGAAGGTCCCCCTGGACAGTAATCGTGCCTAGGCCTCAGATGGCTTGTCTTGCTTCCATTTTCACCCCTTATGAATTATTCTTCCCTGTTATTTGGAGAGGTCACAGGTCAGTACTGCTCCAAATCCCATGGTTTTTGACAGAAGATGCATCTCATGAATAATGAAGTGTGGCTTTGTGCACACCAGGATAACAGCTGAGTGAAGAAGAAAGGATCCTCCTCGCAGAAGGAACTTCTATGTGCGTTTTGAACAACTCATCACCATGCATGAGAAGTCCATTTGTATCTGCGAGTGTTAGTACAGGCTCCTAACCAGAGGCCACATGTTCCAGAAAAGCTGAGAACAATGTCTTCCACGCTCCCAGTCCCAAACAGTGACAGTATTTGAAATGAAAAATGTTCCTTGAAGTGTCTCACTATATAAGTCGTTTGGAAGTGTGACTCCTTATCAGTTATTTAGAAGTGCTGAATTTTAGCTGAG